GCAGCTAAAATATGTCAGCTGAGTTAATTAATTGAAAGCTTTGTTGGACAAGCAAAGTAATATACTGCAGCATCTTTAAATATATATTTGACGGCACACACGACGTATGATTAATTAAAATTTGCAAGTAAAACACTCACACACACACACGTACACACGTCCACACAACTGGCAGCTGCGTACGCAAACCACAAAAGAAATTACAAATTTTTGATAAGAGCATCAAGTTAGAAATATGCTGCTAACTGGAGGATATATATTTATATAATCTGAAAGATCGCATCCACCGAGACTTTGTTTCGTAACGGTCTCATGTGCTAAGAGTGTCATGAAGAATTTGTTGATTTTTCGAATATGGGAACTTGTCATATATCACGAATATTATTTAACAAGGGCATGAAGTTAAAAATATGTTGCTAACTGGAGGATATATTTTCATTTTGAACTAAAATGCGAATATTATTTGGCAAGAGCATAGTTAGGAAATGCTCTATTAACATATGTTGAAGCAACTTATCTAGTGAGACATTATGTCGAAATAGTTTTGGAAGAGTCCCAAGAAATCTTATATAAAACAAGTCAGAGGTTCTAGTCGGGAGCTCCCGACTAGGAGATACCCTGAACCCTCTTCTTCCAACATCAAATGCATATATCTATTCTATTTTAGAAGCTATATGTCAAGTTTGGTGACTCTAGCTCTTATTATTTACCAAAATTGCCCAAAAAACAGGATATCGATATCGATTTTTATCGATTGCTTGGAAACGGGGTAAGTTATCGATTATCGGAAATAAACTCGATCTACGCGGGCACTAGGAGCACCTACATCTAAAATTTCAAGTCTCTAGCTCTTATAGGTTCTCAGGTCCTTGCGTTCATACATACGGACAGACGGACAGACAGACGGACGGACATGGCTAGATCGACTCGGCTATTGGTGCTGATCAAGAATATATATACTTTATGGGGTCGGAGATGCTTCCTTCTGCCTGTTACATACATTTGGATTTTGCAAAAATACAATATATCCTCATACCCACTTTTAATGGGTTCAGGGAATAAAGACAAATACGTGTGCCGTCGCTGTCTCTTATAGAAAAATACTATAATTTTGTGCTCCAATATGATTAAAGTAATTCTTATATATATTAATAAAAATGAGCTCAGCTTGGCTGCGAAATTAATCTGCACTTGAATCAAAAGCACACTTTGTTGAATGCAAAATAATGCTCGCTGGGTTATCAACAGAAAGCTCTGCAACAAATTGAGCTTTTGTGCAGACAACAGCCAGCTGAGAGTCATGAAAGCAGGCAACACTTTGTCGATTAACGGAAATGGAGTCAGGTATCGGTACTTGTCATGTGCACAGGTAGGTGAAACGAGTACTCTGTATATTTAAAATGTCTTAATTAAAACTCATACTTGTGATACCTTACTTGTGATACCCTAGCAAAAACATGCACGCATGCAACAGGTGTTTTTAAACTTTGCCGCTGTTGGCGCCGCTCTGCAGACGGTGCACAGGCGCAGTTGTTGGCGTGCGGCGTGAGCTTTAAAGCTAACCGAAAGCTTTTAAAAGCTGGCGCTGCAATATGGCGGGGCACAGCATCAGTCAGCTGCGCTGCGAGAACTTGAGGCGAATAATGCCAATGAGAACCATCTGATTTTTGTTGTGTTCGTCCCTCGGCGCTCTGCTCGCCAGCTTTTCTGCTTTTCTCAATGAATTGACACACCCCTCGACCGCTAGTGCCGCCCTGGTCCATGGCAGGACGTGGGTGCGCATTCTGTTACGGTGTTCATCAGTGGCCAACGTCGTCGTCGTCGTCAGTCGCTGGCAACATTTTGGCGCGTGTTGACATGCAAAAGATATTCGGTTAACGCGACGCACGACGCTTTTACCGTTAAACGCTTTAAGTTCTTGCTGTGTTATTCGCTTGTTATACGTTATACGCTTCAAATCAAATTGTAACAGTAAAACAACAGTTGCAACGGATCTACATTTTTTCTACTAGTTCTTTTTTTTGTTGTTTTCTATTGTTGTTAATATTGTTATACAGCCAGCTGCCAGTCGAGCGCTCAAAGCAGGCAAGCGAAATGCAAATTTATTTAAAAGATTTGCGCTTTCATATTTTATTTGTTTTTTCTTCTTTTTTTTTAATGTGGGCTACTTATAAAAAATTTCGTTAAAATCGACGGTCATTTCCTTTGTTCGCTCAAGTGTCAGTGTGCGTGTGAGTGTGCGTCTGTGTTTGCATGTGTGTATGTATGTGAGTATGCCGGCATTTTGTTTGGCGCGTAAAACGGTATCTGTTATCAGCGGAGTGTTGCAAGCTGCTTATCAGGTGCGCAGGCCACTAAATCATTTGCTCAACACACAATAAATACGTTGCTGTTTTGTATTGCATCGCCCAACACACAGACAAACACACGCACGCACACATGCACGGATCAAGGCACAGGCACAAAAACAATAAGAAGCACACAATGCCACTTTTCTGCATATAAACGGAATACATAAATATCAAAATGTGCCAGCTAGTGTGTGCGTGCGTGTGCGTCTGTGTGCTGCTGTGCTAGTGTGATTATCATTTATTGTTTACATTGTCGCGGCATTGGGCAACGGGCAACGGGCAACAATGGGGCGACAATGACGAGCCGTTAAAATCTGTGACCGGAAACGGAAATCCATGTAATGACATTTTTAATGCGTACAATTTCTAGCCAAGAAGCGTTTTTAATTTCTCATTTGTCAGTGACAAGCAGGCACCCACGCACACGCACACGCACACACATCCACACATAAATACATATGACATAAAAATGCTCATCTTAAAAATATGACAGTTTCATACACACACATATATATATATATTATTATAAGAACTTCTAGTAATTCCGTTGATGCCAGCTGTCAAATTGCTGTCATCTTAAAACAATTGCAAGTATTATGATGTGTTTTTAAATGATGCAAATAATACATTGAAGTGAAAGTTGCAAACATATTACAAAAAATATGTTGCATACATTTCGGCGCTGCACGCGAACTGCAATTAAAGTTGAATGCGCTTGGGGGTCGACACAATTGATTTAAAGCATTTTATTTGCTAGTTTTGTTAAGTTTGCAATTAGTTTATTTAACGGCAGCCGAATTACTTCTTGTAGTTCTCTTTCTTTCGTTAACTTTCCTCAAATTTAAGATATAAAAATAGAAACCAGTTAAAACATAAATAAGTGTTGATCGGTGCAGGACTTTTAGTTGAGTATTTATAAATAAACAATATTAAAATGTTATAAGTGTCTGCTTGTTCATATTGTTGACTTAATAAAATTGATTATTAAGCATGTCCAAAGAGCAGCGCCGCAAACTGCGCATTGACATTGACCATGAACCGTTAAGGTCAAGCATTTGCAGCTTGTTGCATGCAACCACAAATATAGAGATAGAAATGAAGATGCGTCGAAGCAAACCAAAGGCAATCAAGACTTTGCCCCGAAGGCAACTAAAATGCCGCGCTGCGTGGAAGGAGGTATGCGAACAGGGGCAGCGCCGTGGTTGGGGTGTGTGTCTATCTCATGAATGCGAAACAGACCAACTGCCAATTTGCAGCAGCAGCGGCTTTGAATGCGGCCAAGTTGTTTAGTTGACCGCTGCCTCGCCTTGGGTGGCAAATGGAAGCCAGCGTGCCTCTTGTGCTGCCGCAGCGACTCGAGTAGGCGACAAGTGGGTATAGCAACTGGACCTAAAACCCAATTGAATTGACCATAGAAATGGGATTGGCCAAGTCTGCATTTGACTTCTTTGAGCCTCTGCTGCATTCAGGATAGCTTAATAGCTTTTTCTTCGACTTGTGTGTTGCTCTAGGTGTACTCCTAATTATTTTAAATAATCGCCCATTGCTTTAAGTTTTCTTAAAATACGCCATGTCTAGAATAAAGTGCTCCTCGTCGGCCCTATACTTGCGTAGTCCCTTGTCAGGAGTAGAGTGTAAGTCCAATATGCCAACTTTCGTCAAGATATTTTTAAAAACAAAACATCTTTTTGTTAAGAAACTTACAATTCGACTGATCCTTTCTAAGGCAGCTATATGATATACTCATCCGATTTGACCGACTCTGGCACATGTATTGCCAGCAAAAGAAAGAGAGATCTTTGAAACATGTCGGACAAGCAGACGGACAGAGGTGGCTGTATCCTGATAATAGCATCCTCTTCAAGGATACAAATTGTAATATTATCCAACACTTACGCACGTCACACCAGAAGCGCTTTCGAAAATAAGCATTACAAAGCCAAACAACGCCCAGATCGTCATTCCCAGGCTGAGCAGAGTGCGCAGCAATAAAAACTAAAAAATTGCGTGCTCGCCGTCAATCTGATGCCGGTTCGACACACTATCGCACTGACTTGTAAGTGTGAAGGGAAGGGTCTCCGCTTACCGCCAAGATTAGCGTTAGGACAACATTAAACAACAAATTAAATGGATTAAAAGTTTATACTCTAGTCTGCATTTTCTCGATTAATATATTTCGTAATAGTTATTTTTTTTATTTGTTAGACGCAAAAAGAAAGTATTCAATCTAGGGCTGCATTTGTTTGTTTTTAAATACCTTTCAACACTTAACGCCGCCAACACTGGAAGCAGCGTTAAGTCTTGCAGAGTTTCTCAACACGTATTTATTTTTGTTATTTGAGCACTAAATGTAAATCTATTTGACAATGAATGAGCCTTTTTGGGAAATTGCTTCAGAAAAATAAAAAAAAATTGGATTTCTTAGCCGAGATTAGTTTGAGTTTCCTTCAAGGAACGATTCATAGTCAACAAAATGGAATTTCAATTTCTGTTTAATGCCAATTCGCAACCATTTCAACAAACCAAGCGTGGTGAGTTGCAACCTTTAAATGGAACATTTGCTAGGTGTGTTAACCCGTGCCTAGATCTGCATTGCCTTAACAGAAGTAAATATATATTTATAAGGTAATTCGTATAAATAGGACTTACCTTACTTCACATGCACATTCACTTCTATTTCCGTTCCATCATCACTAAAAGAAGAAAAGAAAAGAAAAAGAGAGCGGGTTAGATCAGGCGAAGGATAGAAATCAGAAAGAGGGCGACAGTGTTAAGGAAAAAGATTCTCAAAGTAGAGATAAAGTTTGCTATCTTGCCAGCACATTTTCTTAACACACCATTCGTAAGCGAGCTACGAAAACATCTATGCCTTACCTAAATTCTTGAGAATCGCATAGTAAGGCATTAGGTAGAGAGTATCTCAAAAGTGTGTAATCGACTTTCACTAAATACGCGTTATGGTTGTATTGGAGCTGCGAGTGCGAGGGCAAGTTAATAGAGTCATCCTGTTGCCGTTGGCAGCATGATTGCGCCTCGCCCTAACTATTGCCCTTTTAACAATTCGACCAAGTTAAATTGGACATAAGTACTTAAGCAAATAGCTCGAGCGCCGCAAAAATACAAAGAACAAGAATCAAAAGAAATTGTTTTAAATGGTTGCAACCCGACTGCCCCAATGGGCACCCTGCCGCACATTAGGTTAGGTAGGGCAGCTGGGCTGTTGTTGTTGCGGGTCACTGACTGGAGTGTGTGTGTGTGTGAGTTTGTATGGCGGGTGTTGCTATTGTCGCTATTTTCGGGCACTCAGCCTGATTATCATATTACATTTGGCTTTTTATGAGTTTCGCTTCTGATCACACCAAACTTTGATATTCCACTAGGAAATTTGCAAAAGCAGTTTAAGCCTGTTTATTAAAAGCCGAAGCGTTAGCCAATTTGCAGGATTCTATGAAACTTTTGTTGATTTGTTTGCCTTTGAGTTGACAAGCACACACATACACAGGCATGTTCAAATAAACAGAAAACACAAACACACACATGCTCACATAAACGCACACACATAGTCGCTGGTATGTTGTAAGTAGCCCAAAAAATATGAAATGTAGACGATTCACCTAAGGCTTCTGCCTGGTTGCGCACAACCGCATATCGAGTTAAAGTTGCAAATTGGGCTAGCCCAAGTTACACACACGCACACCCACACAGATACACACACACACACACCAGTGCATTATAGTGTTTGCCTAACTAAAAGATAGTCCACTCGTTGGCCCCTGTTTGTGTTGTTGTTCTTGTTGTTGTTGTTGTTTTCTCGCCTAAAAATAAACGGTCAACGACGAACGCCCAACATGATGAGAGTGTGTGTGTTGTGTGTGCCTGTCCTTCTGTGTGTGTTTATGTAATTATGTAAGCCACTTATGGCAGCTCAGTTTTAATGCAGTTAAGACTTGTCACTAGCCCTAGGAATATTCATGTTAATTTAAATGCTTCGAGCAGTTGACAGCAGCCAAAAGAGAACAATGTCATACTTAATAACAAAACATAACACAAAGAATACACGCAGCCAAATACACACACCCAAACCCACACTCATGTGAAGCGCGTCGCCATATGCTAGAGCAGGCCAACGCCCAATACACACACAGCCACACACAGGCACACACAAGCACACAAGCAGCTCGCTCACAACTTTTCACAGGCAATAAAACATTTGCAGCAGCATTTTGTAGCATACTTTTCGGCTGAGGGACCCAAAGTACAGTACTGCATGTTAACACTTTGATACAACCATCTAGCCGTGTGCGCAGCAGGATTCGCACAATTTCAATTAACTGCATGCAACACTTCTAGCACACACACACACACACAGATTTGGTTAACTTGGCTGTTTGCCAGCTCAGCCTGAAATTCGAGCAATATCAAGTGAGTAGCCATAAAAAATTGAACAACTGTATTGAAATTTCAGATCAACTGAAACTGAGATATGGAAGTTTACGCTAGAAAGAAATAAGGGTACAATTTAATATCTTTTTAGTACCTTTTTTTATGGAAAATAAATAATCTGCATTTTTTGCCAATTAGCAGATTTTTAATGGAAGAAAATTGTAAAAGGCCTTTTTTTAAATAATGTTCAAAAACTTAGTTAAACGTTAAAGATTACATTATTCCATTACATATCATTCAGTCAGTTATGTTTGATCCACGAAGGAGGTTTGAGCCTTGGAACCTAAAAAACTCTCTCTCTCTCTCTCAAAACTGATTGGTTCAGATTATTCGCAGTGCAAAATATGATCATGTTCATGCTTCACAGAGATTCAGACTTTTTTTGTTTCAGATTAAATTTAAAAAAATAATATATATTAGTACTTTTGCTAAAAGGAAAGTTAGTTTGAATATAACGAATATGTAATTTTATATATTGCTATATATATATATATATATCGGCTTAGGGCCGACAATGCAATATTTGCTTTATCGAACAGAACCTCAGCCTGATTAGTTGAAAAATAAATATTTTCATATATTTTGTTTAATGCTTGAAAATATTATTGCAATATTTAATGGCTGTAATTAAAAAGTTTTCTTTTCTTATAATATTTAAATATTTAATATAATTGATATATTTAAAATTGTTAGATTTTGTATGAATGATGTGTTTTTTTTGTGCTTAAAATCAGCTTCTCAAGCAGCGGCTTTGCTTCTAACTGTAACTAACCTTGTCACAGGATATGTTTGTTGAGCTTGCAGCTATATAAACATTTCGTTTATATGCAACTTTCAATATTTGAACGTAAGCATTACACCTTAGACAGTGCTCACTGTACTTTTTCATTTAAGTTCGAACCCCTGTTGGTATTGTCATCTTCAAGCACACCGAACCGACCGCTGAGCTGGCCACATTCAGTGCATATGAAAAGTTGTGGTCATCTATTTGTCTCCAGTGTGGCAAAGCAGTACGAAACACATTGTCTGCTCCGGTCCATTGTTGTCTGGCCAGTGCGGACCAAACGAACTGTCGGACCACCTTGGATGGACGATTGTGGCCGCTCAGCAGCTGCCCTGCGACGTTGCCCTTAGCCAATGTAAACAATTTAATTTGCTTAGTTGGCGTAATATTCGCCATCAATAAAAAGTAGCGCACAAAACTTTTGGGGCCCCCCAACGATATGATGGTGTTGATGTGCTAAGCAAGCGTGCGTGTGTGTGGGTAAGTGCGTTTGTGTGAGTGTGTGTGCCGCAAACAATGACTATCGATAACATTCGGGCCCATCTTGTCCTTGTATTGCACAATTTCTTTGCTGCTTTGACTGCTTTGCAATTGAGTGGCAGAAATCCACTTGAAATAAATCTAAGCAACACCACACACACACACACACCCATGTACACACATGCCGCAAACACACATTGTTTAGGCCAACACATTAAAACGTTATGGACAACGCCTTTGTGTCGTCTTTGTAGAGTGCTTTGCTCTCACTCTCTCTTTGCCACCCCTCCGTCGTTCCCATCGGCGTCGCCCCCTTGCTAGCTGTGCCGCACTTGTTGACCGAATTGTAATTGTTAATCTCCTGCATTGATTTTCCACTTGACGCCTTTGTTTGATATTTAAGCCAGGTTCTTGTCGGCAAAGTAATCGAATTAACGCTCAGCCAGTGACTGATGAAGTGGCTTCTACGTCTACGTCTGCGGCACACAGGGCAGACTTGAGCCGTGCCCGGTTCTGGTTACGTTTCTCAATTAATTGCAACGGTTGTCAGATTCTGCGCAACGTTGCGTATGATTAACGCGATGGCAGCAACAGAACTGCTCCAGGTGCGACTGCCGAACCAGAAGATACCCTCTATTGAACAGCATTCGCACATGCTTCTATACATAAGCAAAATCACACACACAATCAAGCACGCCACAGCGTGCAGCGCAGCCGCCTCTTCACTTTCTACACTTATAATAACTATGTTCTTTATCTAAATACTTTATACTATTTATATATAAACCTTATACTATATGTATACTATACAATATGTACCCTATATACTTTATACTATATAAACTATATCAGAGCCAACATACCCAGTATGATATATCTAGCTTATCCTATTTCCGAAATATTCATCAAAAATTATCTTTCCTTGACCGATATTTATCGATATTGTCCGAGCATTCAAACTTTATGGGATCGTCGCTGCTTTCTTCTGTGTGTTAAATACAAAAAACTCATTTTTACCCACAAAACAGGGTATGAGAACAACAGCATTAAGCGCAATAACAACATTATAGCTCTATATATAGCAAGTGTATACGGACACGTTATCGATATGTACGTATGCTGATGGCCTGAAGGGCTTTTCAGGATGCGTTTGTCATCAAATTGGCTGACATCAGAGCCAACAGCTTCATGAATAACTTATGGGCCCACACGCTGCCCCATCTGGACAGCAGTTTTAAATGGTGGCTCTTTCCTCGATAATATGCAACTAATTGGAAAATGTTTCCTTAAACCAAAAGCTGACTGAACAACTATAAAAAAGTTAAAATTCGAGGAATTGGCTTATTACGCTTGAATGGTTTCTTGCTTATAATGTCTGCCTATTAAATGGTAAAAAGGGTTGTCAATTTGCAAATGAAATTTAAGAAGGTGGTTAAGCAGGTGCTTAAAGCCATGTCTGTGCGTCCGTCAAATAAACGCGCATATCTCAAAAACTAAGAACTTGGGCTAAATATATAATTTGATATTTATGATATGATCTTTCTCTCATTTCATATTACATTCGGTCCCGATCTCATATTCTTGATCGTATTCGTACTCTACTGTTTCTAACATAATCATCAATATCGCCTTTCTATGCAATTTTCATGAGCAAGTCCTTATTTTCCTTATTTTCTTATATTCCGGCAGGACGAAGATCTTATACCCTTGCAGACCCAATCTTTTCATAATGCTCATCGTATCTTAGAATCACAGGGAAAATAGTTAATGCTGAGTATGGTTAATATATCTTGAAAAAAAAAAAAAGTTTTCCATACAACACCTTAGATCTCGACCGATCGTTCCTATGGCAGCTATATGATATAGTGGTCCGATTTTAAAAGAAATTGCATGTATGTATATGGGGAGAATAGCAAAACTAATAAATGCCGAGTTTGGTCAAGATATTTTGAAAAATAAAATAGTTTTCCATACAACACCTTAGAT